CATTAGCACCTCTAGTAATATATTTATTGAGAAAAATGGTGACGTGTTCAATACTTATTTTACCCGCTGTATTTGGAAAGGTTATTAGCTCCTGGTCAACTGACCTAACTGACTTCAAATCAACRCTTCCTTGAACACCATAAAGTTGTAAAAAGGTTTCTTAATATTTTCATTGTGTACAACAATATAATGCCCAATTCTTTTATTTCATGGATTTTGGTGAACTAATTTAAAAGGGCAAAGCTCCAACTAAAGAGCTCTAATAAGAAAGAAGAGTAGAAATCAGTTTTTATCCAGGGAATAAAAAGGATGAACATAATCAACATTAATAATTTAAAAATTGTAGACTGCTTCACTGTCACACACTGTGATTATAGTAGAAAATTTAATTAGATCCAATTAGTTTTGGAGAAGTAACAATTAATAAATGTTCATATTTTAAGGATTTAAGTATAAATGGTCATCAAATCATCATGGCTCTTGTATCAAGTCAATAACGCTTTTTAATGAAATTTATAGTGATTTGTTTTTTTTGTCTGATAATTATTGTGGGAGTCATTTGTTTCCCAATAAACTTACAGCAGGTTATTTTTAGTACCAGCTCAGAAACACATTATGATCCTGCTGTTTTAATACAAGCATTTGTCTTCATTTAATATCTGTCAAAATGCTTGATATTCACGTAACTGTGGCATTATTGAAAAATATGGCGGCTGCCAGGTTTGCTCGTGTAGCTTCTGAACTCGTTTATTTCATCTCTGAGTAAGGTGGCGACAAATAAACAACACAGCTCACACCTGGCTGTGGACCAGACTGGTCCTGTTGGGTCAGGTTTTTAACAAGTTAGGGGGTAGATTCAGATGACGTTTCCTCAAAATAAACCTATAAAAATAAGTATTTTGATTTTCCTTACCATAAAAAAAACTGCCATTTTAAAATGACTTTCTCGCTTCTTGTGCCTCCATCTGAATAATCGCACACAGCAGTTGGAGGATTTCCAAGAGGTCGCAGCGAACTGAGAAAAAAATTGGTGAGAAGAGCCAAAAATGGGCCATGAAAAGTGGGGAGGTCATTTGTTTTAGAGCGCCTCCAACTGCTGTGTTAACCTGGCAAGAGCTGGAAGCTGCAGAGACGTGGTGGTCAGTCATGCGCCACAAAAACTGTTTGTTTTTTACCTGTAGACACTTTACGAGACTGCTAAGGATCATGGTGTGAAAAGTTCACTCTGTTTTCTTGTTTATAGATTCTTCCAATGGCTACTAGACATCTAACTACTTCAGCGTACTTTTGGCTGTTGTGCTCGTTCATTAATCAAAATGTGCGACTAATTCTGGAGATGATGCCTTTATTTGTAACTTCTATACTTTTTAAAATATTGAACTTTATGCAACTTTTTTGTAGCTTCATTCAAATAATTAAGGACTTTTAATTTTAGCTAAGTTGTTGCTACTGTTTTGCTAGTTTAAAGTTTAAACTTCTGTTTGCTAAGCTAACCCTTTAAGTCAGGGCTATTCAACTGGTGGCCCACAGGCCACATGCGTCCCGCGGGTGACTTCCATTTGGCCTGYCAACAAGCCCCGCCCCCCTTCCAAATAATTTTTATTTTTTAAAGAATTTTTCAGTTTTCTTTTATCTAAAAATATTTTTCAAATCACTTTTAAATTTAAAATATTTGTTTCAGTGCAAGAAAATAAACAAAATGAAAAGGTTAAAGATAATACTTCTGTTCTGTTGCTTCAACTGGGCAACGCACTACCTGGCTTTGGCTTTGAGTAACCGTGGCCACCGGAGCAATTTAATTGAATCGCCCTGCTTTAGGCACTGCAATTCTTTTGCTAATTTTAGGTTTTAGATACTGTTTTGCTGGTTTAAAATTGTAGCTTCTGTTTTGCTAATCTAACCTTTTAGCTACTGTTGTGCTAATTTTAGCTACCTTTTTGTTTTTGCTCATATATGCTTTCAGCTGTTGTTTTGATCATTTTGGCTACTGTTTTACTGGCTTTAGATGTCATCCTTGAATTTATATTTAGCTTATGTTCTAGTTGTTTTAACTTTGACAATTAAGTTTCAGCTGATGCCATTTCTTTGGTTTTTGTTTTCAGCATTTTGACCTTACAATTAAAACCAATGTAAATAAGATTTCTTTAAGCGAAGGACTGAGCTGGTAAATCCACGGCCGGTCAGGAAGCACAGATCCATCTTACCGTAGTACCGACTCGCCCTCCAGGCCCTGACGGCACAGTGCAGGACTCCGTCCAGCCACAGCAGCAGCCAGCTGATGCAAAAGCCCAACAGCAGGCCCAGCATCAAGTCCATCTCCTGCTTCGTCACACTGTCACTCACAAAGTAGTTCTCTGAAGAATCCACCAGGGAGTGGTCCCCATCGTACGGGATTACGTAGTGGACATGATGCCTGTGTTTGAGGACAGACAGGAGAAGATGATGGACATGTTAGATGGGATGTTTGCACATTTGTTCACTTACATATCTCTTCTGTCGTGGGGATTCGTCTAAAGATTTTTAAATCTAAATAAGGCCTCACTAATCCGCACTTTGCAGGAAACCCCTGAAGCCCTCTTAAGGGACCCTCGGGTGTCCCCCGGCTGCACTTTAGGCATAAAAAGTTCACGGTCGAGTCGTCGTTTTAAATTTGCAGAAAGATCTAGAAGCATTAAAAGAATATGATGGTTTACTTTTTTTAGAAAATGTTCTTTTTAGCTGGTAAGTGCCTCTCAGATTAAAATTAGTATAAAAGATTAGATTAAATTAGTACAAACATGTAAAGACAACCTACATTTGTGTGTAATAAGCTGTTCCTTTATTTATTTTCTTTTAACCATTTAGGAATTGTCTAGAAATTTGTTTTCCAAAAATTGACAGCATGGTGGTAACATCCAACACATCTAACTGAAAATCTGGGTTGAAAAATATAAAAATGTTTCCGTGATTTGATGCAGATTGAAATACAACAAATCCATGAATGTAATTAAAGTCACCACTTCTCATATTAACCCTGTAAGTTTTTGCAAACTTACTGGAGCCCGTACAGCTTAACCGTGCATTAGTGTTGTAAAACGTCTACTTTTATTTGACATGACAGCCTTTACAGCCCTCCTGGGGGAGGATGAAGAATGTTTTCCTGTCTAAAAACACGAAGAGTTGCCTGACAAACATCAGAAGCGAACGCAGCAGAAACTGAGAGATGCGACTGCCGGGAGAGAGCACAGGAGCACTCACACACTTTGGGATGTTACGGTGATAACAGGTTTGGACTGATGGAGGTTTGTTGAGACAGTTCAGAGTAAAACAGCACTTTGGTGATTCTGAAAACTTGCTGGAGATAAAGTGAAGAAGCTGACACTGGGACGATGGGACGTTTTCAAAAATGGAGCAGATTTTCTTTTTTACAGGTCTACAAGCTGAAATATGCACAAAAATAATTTTAAATTCCTGAACTGATCGTTTGTTGTACCAGACACCCAGACTGTCTTTGAATAACCCCTTTCCAAAAAAGAAAAAATCAGTAGTTGATGTAAAGTTGATGTCCTGATCACTTTGTTGCCCATAAACACAACAATGCATTTTTGAGACCATATGTGCATATTTACCTGAACTCTGAGAATGCATCTACAAAATTATTTCTGCTATAAATCACACGTTTAAGAAATCTTAAAACAGAAATGAGATCAAACGTTCCCTGACACACGACCAGTTGTTTATGCGCCAGGATTTACTCCATGAGAGGACTCGGCTGCATCCAGTGGCCTCTGAGTCAGAACATGAACACAGCCAAATAAGATGACACAAGCTGTGTCCTCCAGCCCGATAAGGTGAACGCTGTGGGCGTCCCGACACCTCCACGCCTCATGGATGGAAGGACAGGCGGGGAAAAGCCCGAGCTTTCCTCTCCCCGCTCTCGTTCTGCGTGACAACAGATGACTGGGTCCCGTTCAGGAGTGTTTCCAGGTCAGTGACGGCTGTGGTTCCTGTAACCTGAGCACTAACAGGAGGGGCCGAGGTGCGTTCTGTCCACTGGCGTGTTCATCTGATCCGTGGAAAGAAGGAGTTTTCTGCAGAATTCCCTTAGTAATTTTAATCTAGAGAGCCACATATTTTGTCGTTGTATAAGTGAGGTCTTGCTTTACTTTTTACTCACATTATATGCCTGAAAATGAGGATTGCTGATGACCTATTTCAGGATTTAAAGACTAAAAAACTGGCTTCTTAATGCTGCTCATTATCAGCTCTCACTGCAGTTAACTGCTGCTTTGTTTGAGGTGCATCTTTTCAGCAACGTGAACTGATCAGACTGTAGGTTTAAGGTCTCTCGGGGTCTAATAAGGACAATTTTCAAATACAACGGGTTGCAAATGTAGCCAAATCTCTATTTTGTTGCTTTACAACCTCGAGTTTATTTTGATTAAAAGCAATAATGTGTTCCTTTGCTACGAAACTCCATTCAGAAATGACAGTTAGTGAAATAAGATCCAATTATAATGAATCTAAATGTCAAACGGTACGCATTTGTTGTAATCCACTCAAAGAGGAGACAAGTCTTCACACAGATCAGAGACAAAGTTATAAAGTAGATTGGGGTTGGTTTAATTAAAAAAAATACTTTGAACACTGAAGAGTTTTATAGATAGATGATAGATGGTCTAAACAAGAGCGTAACTTTAGGTCCACCATTGGGGGGTTATGCTCTCTGCCTATTATTGAATCATTTACTTTTATAAAACAATTCAGGGTATTTGGGGGTTAAAATACATTGTAATGCTTTTACTGTGATTTACTTAGCTTTCCTGTTTTCTTTGTATTTACTCTGCACCTTTTCTGTGACATCAGTTCAACAAGAAAAGATTTACTTTTTTCCCTCCCATTTTTTCCCCCATCAGTAACAAATGTTTTACATTTTTAGGATGTATTATGACACCTAAATTTCACAATTTTCCGAGAGTGTGTATTTACCTGGTGCACTACAATTTGGCTAGGAAAAAATGGCAACACGATTCAACAAATACAGCCAAAATGTGACGAGCAGACTAAAACACTGAGTGTTATTTTCAACGATTAAACATACATTTCTAAAGACAACAGGAGAGTTGCAACTGCATTACCCAGTTCATTTCTGCTGTGTTAGAGCAAATGATGTTATGTTATTGGGAGAGGGAGGGTATTGACTGGCTCAAAATATTTTGGGGGTCCTAACCCCCCTGAATATTACGCCTATGCCCCTAAAGATGGGCTTTAAAAGTGAGGACTCAAGGTTCCATGTGGTTGAGTATAATGATTACACTGAGTGTGGACCCTCGTTTCAGAATTGCATTCAACATAGCTTAAAGGGATCCCCGATTAGCTGTAACATTAGACTTTATTTGATAAACATACAGTATATTTTAACTGTAAAATAAAGACTGTAAAAATACTGTAGGCTGTTTAGTTTTGTACATTTTTAAAAATATGTTTTGACACGGACGGAGCCATTTTATTTACATGCAAAGCATTCTGGGTAAATGATGATGTGAGTTGATCATCGGTGCGAGGCTGCTATCAAGCTATATCCACACTGAAGGTTAATCTTGGTCAATATCTGACGATTGGCTCTTTTAAATGAAACCAGAGAGCGTTGACAGAGAGGAGAAGGTAGAAATGACTCAGCCTGAAACTGAAAATATGGATGGAGGACAACAGTTTAGCTTGTTTGTCGCACTAGCCTTGAGCTAATACATATAAGGCAATATAGCGTCAGTGTTAGCATGAAGGCTAACAGGCTAAGCTGAGGTTCTTCTTCCATGAAGCAGCTCTGTTGTCCTCCATCCATATTTTCAGTTCCAGGCTGAGTCATTTCTACCTTCTCCTCTCTGTCAACGCTCTCTGGTTTCATTTAAAAGAGCCAATTGCCAGATATAGTCCAAGATTAAGCCATAGTTCGCTCGTAGCCTCGCCTGTGACCTAGTTGACATCATCATTTACCCAGAATGCTTTGCATGTAAATAAAATGGCCCCGTCCGTCTACTGCATTTTTGAACTTTTAGTTTTTATATTATAAAAACTAAACATCCTACAGTATTTTACAGTCTTTATTTTACAGTTAAAATATATGTTTATTAAATAATGTCT